CTGCAAACTGCCAGCATCATGCTCTAAGCACTTCTGTTCACCCCAGCCAGACCAACTTAATGGCCTAATGTAGGATTTTCTAATCCCACTTTTAAGAAACAGGACACTTGGTGATGCTACCATCTACCAGAGCTCCTCACATCCCTGGTTCAAATGTCTGACCCCTCTCTCTTGGAAAGAAAAAAAAAAAAGGAGAAATTTCAGATCAACTGCTGAGCAATTTTTCCATCCTGATCTTTTAGGCAATGCTAAATGATGATTATTTGTTGTAGGTTATGCCTAGGGTAGGGTTCCAGGAGCTGAGAGCCAGTGCACAAAGTCTGGCTAGGAACAAGTTCTTGTCATCTAAATGATCTGCATTTAGATGTGTAGTCACTTGTTCAGTTCTTTCCTCCCTCTTTCTGGCCAGGTTGCCACCCAAGATAAGAGACAAATCTCTTTAGAGGCAATTCACAAACTTCAGGATTCTTGCAGTGGGAGGTTGTCTCTAGTCTTATGCAAAGAAATAACTTAAGCCCCAGGAACTCACTCATAAGTCTAAGCCCAAATAGTGCAAAGGAGATGAGCTCTACCAGGATTTTTGAAATAAAGGAGGTTATTCTTCTCCTCTGCTATGGAAATTTGGGTTTAATCATTATCAATAGAACTGAGTATGGAAGAAAATATACTTGGATAGAATTTAACTTCTAAGTAAGGGTTCTGCAAAATGTCCTTTGACAAACAATTAGGACACAATGCTAACGGATCTTCCAGACAGCATTAAGGAATCAAAACAACTGAATTTACATAATAACCACATCTCTCTTGAGACTTCTGCCATCAGATCATCCCAAAACAATAGAAGAGAGACATTTCCTGAGTTGTCCATTTAACTTTAGTTAAGAAGGTTGCCTACCAATAGGGAAATGACTTTGGAGGCAACCATCAGCTAGTGATGTAGTTGAAATGAGGCAAACTAGGAGCCTGAAAGGGAAAGTGCCCAACTCTAAATCATATGCTTATTCTAAATGGAATATTAAATTAAATTCTTCACAATGAAGGTATTCCTGACAGAGCGGCTGTCAGTCACTCCCTGTTCAGACACCACATTGTGGGAACCTCATCGCTGCCACATTGCAGAAGGCTGGTGTCCCTGGTAAAGATGATGTATATCATGTAAACCCCATCACCAAGATCAAAGTCCGCTTCTTTCATGGAAGCCAATACATGTCAAACCTCATTCCAATCAAATTGTCCGGAAATGAATTCAAGATGAATATGTCATAGAATAATGTGACAGTGGAATTGCAGAAGGTCAGGGGTGGTTGTTTCAATGAGAGAGTCGTCAAATATTAATTCTAGAATGTCCAGATGAGTAGGCATTGAGGGGGATTAGCCGGCTGCTGGTGGGATGTTGTGTCATTGATTTGTGTGCAAATGTATCAAACACCAAGGTGTTGATCTAAGTTTCATTTGAACTCAAGAAACACCCCAAACTTGTAACCCAACATAAGCAAAATACAAAACTTCTAACTTAAAAAAAAGGAAAAAAAAACTTCAGCAATCCAATGTTCAAAGGAGAATCTGTAACTTACTTGACTCTTTCAGAGTGTTTCGGTAAAGCCGTAATCGTTTCCTCATCACCAAGGAAGTCTTGTATCTCATTTTCTGACTTTGAGCCTGCTTGAGAAGAAAAGAGTGACAGTTAAACAATTTTGTACATGTTTGTGTGGCAAGATGTGGTCTGAATGTATGAATTTAAAGATGTTGTTCTGAAGAGAGTCTTTTGGTCTTTCTTAGATCATTTTCAAATTTAGAAGTTAAAGAACAGGACTCTGCTGGAAACTGCCTGTATCCATGCAAAATGATATATCTTTACTAATACAAAGTGTTGGAAAAATTATAATTTCCCAGCTAGACCTTTATTTGAAACTCATTTGTTGTTCTGCTTTGAAAGTAGAAGTAAACACTCTTTCAGTTAGTACTCAGAAATTTCTAACTTCCGGAATTTAAATTTATTCTATGAAAAACACCATTATTTTATTTTCAGTCCTATTCATCGAATTTAGTGAAGGGTGGTGGGAAAAACCCACTGTTCTCTGAGAGGTTAGCAATTAAAATTTGAATTATAAATGTTGGAACAGAGAGGAGAGGAGTTTCTTTGCAGATTTTCAGGTCCTGTTCTGCCTGTGGTAGTACAGAATTCCTAAGCCTCACATTTTCTACACTCCAGACTCATTTGAAAGCCATCGCTGTTTGATTTTTTGAAGTTAATATAAAATTCACCAGATTGAAAAAGGATCATTTTAATCATTTGGTCCAGACTCCCCTTTTCTCATAGTCAAGAAAGATAGAAGTAACACCCTTTTAAGATATATGCATTACTCATCAGATTCACATTGTGGCTAAAGCTACCAAGCCATTGGCCATATTAAATTCTTAAAACCATCCTGGGGACCTCTGAGTCTGCCAGACAAGGGCGAAGGCAATAGAGCAGCCAAACAGAAGCATCCACCCAGCCCTGACCCCCAATTTGGCCAAGAAAGACAAACAGTCATTGAAAAGGTCTCAGGCTGGACAAACACAGCAAGTCCTCTGTCAATGAGGATGTCTGCCTGTCTTGACACTCCAACCCACAGAACAAGCGGTTGTTTAACTTGTTGAACCACAGGCCAAATCTAAGTGGGACTCTGTTATCTTAAAAGGTATCCAGTTCTCTATGCACAAAGATCTCTCTCTCTCTCTCCCCCTCAGCCCCCTACAAGGATTCCAACTAGCTTGGCGGTTTTCACCTTCCCTCTCCCTTCTTTTTTAGGTCCAGGCCTGCGATGCGGGGGTGGACTCACCTTTTCCCAGAGAGTTTTAATTATTTTTCAAGCCTTTCTAACCAAAAAGCATCCTTCCCCAAAGGTAATAAGCTCCTTCCAGCACAAATCAGGAAAGAAAGGAGGCCCAACTTTGCATTCCTACAGAAGGGCGGCATGCTGGGCGTCCTCACTCTGAAATTTCCTCATGGCAGGATGTCTGGCACGGAAAAGTCCTGGTTGGTTGGCAATAATAGAATTTGCTTTTTTGCTTCTGAGAGAAATGAATGTGAGATTCCCTAGAGACCTCTGTCCACCCACAATGCTGCCCCAGCCCAACTTCTAAAAGGTCTGGGTCACTTTGCTCCAGGTCCTGTCAGCCCTTCGTGCATTATACACCCATAGACACACAAATAAATGTTGCAGAGGTCGGACTAAGGCAGGTGACAGGCACCATAAGAGGCTCCCTGTAGCAGTTCCATCACACGACCTGCACGGGGAACCTGGGTAGACATCCCCTTTGGTTCCATCTCGCTGAAGGAGGGAGGAGAGACTCTGTGAGCAGTCCCTGGGCTCCTGGACCTGAGGTCCCCACCAACTCCGGATAAAGAATCCTGGAAAGGGCTCGCTTTGGTTTTCCCCAAATGCTTGTTCCCCACGACAGCCCCGGCCACCGAATTACCAGTCGGGAGCCCATCCTGGAGACTTTTTGGAGTCTGCCTTCCTGCCCGCACCTTGAGAAGATTGACGGTGCCGGACGAGAGCCAAGAAGGTGGGGATGTGCGAAAGGCACCGGTTTTATTTGGGGGGCTGCTAAGGCTGCATGTTGTGGGGCCGACCCAGCCGGCGCAGGCCAACCCAAGGTCAGAGGTCAGCTGCAGCCGGCGACTCCAGCTCCGGGGCCGCTCCACACTGATTAACCCGCAGGCGCGGCGGCGGAGGCGTGCCCGCCTCTCCTCGGCCGCAGCTCGGCCCTGGCGGGCGCAGAGCACAATCCCTGAGAGCTGGCCGGGAGCTCCGGGCCAGAGAGGAAGGCAGCTCCCGGCCTCTGCCCGCCGTCTGCGGCCGCCAGCTACACCCCGCACCTTTCTGGCTCCCCTCCATCCGGCCCTCGAGCGCCAGGAGGTTGAGCCGAGCTGCGAGACTGGGTTGTGCAAGGGCCTTCACTCACTCCTCTTCCCTAGAGGGAGGAGCTCGGGTTTCCCAGCGGAAGGCTGAGCGGTCTCGGGTCCCTGGTGTCGAATCTGCATCCGTGGATCACCTGCAGGATCAGCCTGGGCGTTTAACCCTTCCTTTGAGTCCCCCCTCCCCCAACCTGCAGAGAACAGAAGGAAAAGCAGTGCAGTGGGGTGGGTCGCTGCGAGGCCAATGCTGTCAGAAAGGGGCGAAAATATGACCTTGGAATCCAAAGGGAGTTTCCTGCAGACGGTGCCGGGGAACTGCAGCCCTCCAACGCCCCTTCTTCATTGCCAAGACTTTGCTACTGGCCATTCGTCAGCCCAAACTTTCAGGTCCAGCCTTTGAGCCCATCCTAGCTTTCTTTCACAGCCCAATTCTGTTCCCTCCTCACTCGCCCCCAAGTCCCAGTGCCCCCGGGTCTAGGGTAGTAGCTAGAATCCTAGGGGCTGCGGCCTGCTCCCCGGAGAGCTGGTCGCGGACCTCATTCGCATCCGAGAGAAGGCAAGCCAAGTCCCGAACCCACAGCCGGCCGCGCGCGGAGAGCAGGTGCCAGCGGTCAGCATCCTGCGCCAGGACCAGGACGAGGGAGGGCAAAGAACCGGGCCCTGAGGCCGCCCCAGCCAACACCAGCAGTCAGGCTGTGGCGGAGAAGTTCCGTCATCTTGCTCCCAGCCAGGCTAACTTGGCTCTTTGACCCCGGGGAGGGGAAGCCGAGATCTTCCTCGCCATCCCCCTGGGGGCTGCCTGCAGGGGGCCCCTCCTGGCACCCGCCCTGTCACTTTTCGCGAGGGCCACGACTCCCCTCTTTGTGCCTATGATGGGGCACCCAAGCAATTTGCAAGGAGGGAAGGGAGGGTGGGCGGGGGGCAAGCTGCTTTTGGTTTCCGTGCCAGTGGAAGCCCCATTTGTTCCCCCCCCTTCTCCTGGGAAGAAGGGATGGACTCATCCTCAGCGCTGCCCCTCCGCAGAAGGGCCCCCTCCTCCCCTTCATGTCAGTGGGATGGGGCCTGTATCCAAGGTGGGGGTGGGGAGGAGGCGATGAAGGAGGAGATGAGGTGGAAAGTCTGGCTGGGCCTCTTCCCCCACTGGGGTTTGGGTGCCAACGGTCCCCTTGAGGGCGCCTGCTACGCGGCCGCTGGGGGTCCAGGTCTGGTCTGTCTGGCCCCTGGACTCACGCACTTACCCCACTCCACCTGTTGCCAGGATCGCCTCATTTCTGCACATCACTTCGGGGTGGCTGAGGGGGGACCACAGACCCCTCCAAGCCTCTCTTTGGTGGTTCCAGCGAGGCGGTCATCCTTCATTTCTCCTTTTCCAGCTTTCGGGAAGCAGTTAGGGAATGTATGATGAAGCAGAAATGAGCCGTCAGGATGATATTTTAATGGCTTATATGTCACGTTGGTGCATGTGGCTTTGAACTGGAGCCGCTCGCGTTTCCTGCAGAGAGCGCCGCAAATCCCACTTGATAACTTCTACAACCCACAACTTTTTTTTCCCCTCACATTCACTCTTACCCTGTATATTTGGATGGTTTCCCTAAAAATACCCTCTTGTCAACGTCCCCGTTGGATTTTCCACGGACTGGAGAGAAGAAGACTGATTTTTCTTTTTTGAAGAATTATTTCCCATCTGCCCCTCCCGATGGCTACCCTTCCCGCTAAGGTCCCCCCCTTGTTTTCTTTCTTTCTTTCTTTCATTTTTTGAAAGGCAGGCGAAGTAGGTTCAATATTGGCTCTCCCTAGTGAGAAGAATATAGCCTCTAGAGAAAGCTTCTCCTTGCAGATAGGTTTTTCACAACTCCAGGAGAAGCAGGATCCAGCTTCTACCTGTAGGTAGCAGAAAAGACTTAGCCGTTTAGATATATCTTTTTTTTTTTTTTTAACAAAGTGTATAGTATTAAAAAAAAAAAAAAGTCCAGCCCCTTTCCTCCACTCCTCACTCCGTTCCACTCAAATTTAGCAGGGAATGCTGGGCTGCTGGACTCAGACTTGTTGCTGGGGACAGAACAATTGATTTTTTCTTTCCTTCTCGAATTTCTATTTCCCAGCACAAAAAAATGCAAATGCTCAGCCAGGTCCCTTCAGGCACCGGGAAATCATCCCGGATCCACAAGCCGACTTTTGAGCCCGAGAGCCTAGGGAAAGGGCAGCCCCACTTGCCAGCCCTAAACGAGAATCTAGTCGGTGAGAAGACCAGAAAACCGGGAAGGCAAGGAGCGGCGGACGCTGACCCTGGCTTCCTCCAGCCCCTACGGCCCGCACTGGCGACGGGGGGGGGGGGGGGGGGGAATCATTTTCATTTTCCTCTCGCGGGGCACTAGTGAGTTTCCTAACCGGGCGGCCTGTGAAAGGATGAGTTGAGGTTTCTTTGTCTGGAAAAAGAGTTTAGGGCTCTGATTCAGCTGCAAAGAAGCCAAATGAAGTTAGAAACAAAGGGCAAATTGAAGGATTCCGACTCTTGGCTTTTTGTGTTTTCCTTACTAGAAAATAATTAGACCTAATGAATATGCAGACGCTACGGCTAAACCCTCGGCCGGGGCTGCTGGGTTTTAAACAGAGCTGCGGAGCAATGCAACCTTCATCCCCCAATCCCCCGCATCCGCGTGCGTTTTTTGAAATGCATAAATGTTGCTCGGCTTAATTGATTGAGTCACAGGGATTTTTTTTTTCCTGCTTTTTAGTGCCATACTCCTCTACCTTTCAACAATCATTTTAATATATAGTCAATGGCTCTTTGTGGACGGGACAAAAAGCAACTACGCGCAGTTGTTGAATAGACTTTGCGCTAGGCAAAGACAGGTTAATCGAGGGCCGCATCGCGAAAACAAGCGAGTGTTGTATGTTTGCACTGAATCCAAATGTCTGCATTTTCCTAACTAAATCAAAGGGAGTGTTATTTCTTTTTCTGCTCACTCATCTGAAGGTAAGTAAATTTTCTCTGGCGATCAAAAGCCTGGTCGGCAACAAAGACCGCGCCCGCTTTTTCCACCGTCCTGGTGTGGCGAGTTGCGGAATTTCAATAACTGTGACAAGGGTGACTGATTTGTGAACTAGAAAAGGTTTGAATGTCACAAAATTTACATTGGTCCTATCTACTGGGGATTTAAATACCAAAAAAGTATTCGGGGATCTCTAGGGAGTCTTGGGCAGCCCAGAGGAACAATGGCGCGTTGGGAAATTTACAGTTTTACCTGAAAGAAAGGGGCCAGGGTTGTGAACAGGAGTGCAGAGGGAGAGGGTTAGCGGGGGCATCCGAGGGAGACAAGGAAAAGGGAGAAAAAAGAAAAATAACACACGAGAGAGAGAGAAAGAAAGCTGTCAATAATATTTCAAATTGGCCATTAAAAAAACCAAACAAACAAATCCTCAATAACCCGGAAAGTTAGGAGCTCTCATCCACCTATTGCGGGAGGGGGGGGGGAGAGGAGGTGGTGGGGTGGGAAGCGAGGGAGGATGTCTGATTGATTTGATAAAAGTGGAAAAATCAAGGCTGCCGGTTACACTGGGAAATCACGTTTCTTGAAAAGAGAGCGGAATGCCCGTGTGTTCCCGAGATCTTAAATTATAAACAGGAGGGGGACCGGGCAAGAGGGAAGGAACTTCAAAAGGAGCAAATAACAAAAGCCTCCTCTGCTGCCCTTGAAGGGGGGGAAGAGGGGAGAAATAAAAGAAAGTTGCTGAATCGGGACATTCTGGAAGTGCCTTTGCTGTGTTTACCAGCCTCATCCCCGCCTCTTGCACTCGGAGACGACCAAAGTCTCTAATCGCACAGCTCGGAGCAGGTTTGGGGAAGGAGACAGAGAGAGAGAGAGAGAGAGAGAGAGAGAGAGAGAGAGAGACACGGAGAGAGAGAGAGAGGGAGACGGAGAGAGAGAGAGAGGGAGACAGAGAGAGAAAAGGGGAGAGAGAAAGGGGGGAGAGAGAGAGAGAGAGAGAGAGAGAGAGAGAGAGAGAAAGTAAGTAACGGGGGGATGTATATGACTGTGAGAGAGAAAAGGAATCGTGGCAAAAAAAAATTTCCGTGAGAAGAGGGAAAAAATTTGGCTAAAAAAAAAAGTTGCTACTCCTGGCAGCCCTGTTTGTCAAAAGGGGATGTCAAGCGCTTTACAATACCTGGGATTGATGAGGCGGGCGGGCCAATGAGCGGCGCGCGGCGCTTCGGCGCGCCCTCCGTTGGCGCGGCGGCTGCGGGCGGGGGGAGTGAGGGCGCACCAATGGGCGCCCGCGTGGGCAGCACGTGACGCCTCCCCCTGCTCCCATTCATCAAGGGGGGGACGGTGTCGTCCTTTCAATTCATTTATCTGCAGGAATGATTGCTGCTATCAGTCTCGCGCTCACCGCCCGGCTGAGGAGGTGAAAGTTTCTCCCCAGGAAGATAAACCGCAAAAGACAATATTGTGCATGATTTGCGCCTTTTCTTTGGCTTTTTCTTTCTTTCTTCTCCCCCCCCTTTTTTTTTTTTTGCAAAAAGCAGAGGGAAAAAAGGAGTGTGAAGGAGCGAGGAGGCGAGCCTGAGAGAAAGGAGAGAGAGAGAGAGAGAAAAGAAAAGAAAGGGAGAGGGGCTAGTGGAGAAGTGAGGAGGGGCGCGCGGCGCGAGGCGGAGAGAGGGCGAGCAGTCGCGGCTCTGGCGCTCACATTCCTCTATGCCACAAATCCAGGAGGAAGTTTTTTTGGGGGGCTGAGATGCTCCCTGCCTTTCTCGGGGCAGCCTTGACGCGGGGCCCTCTCGGCAGAGACTGAGCGGCGAGAAAGTGCGAGCCGGGCCGGCGGGGTCTGCCTGGCGGGCGCCGGAGCCTGCCTCACTCGCAGCCCGCAGCCGTCCGGCTTCCCCGCGTTCGGCCAGGCGGGCG